TCAGCTAAACTAATAGCTATGTCATAAGGTTCGTCAGTGAGGCTGAGAGGGTCTATGTCCCCCAGGGTACTATCGGAGTACCCTGGGGGACATAGACCCTATGAGCATCAGTGAGGTGCATATAGTGTTTGGCAGTGATTGTACGAGATTGATAAATATGGCTTGCGGATGGTACTGATTGCTTAATAGCCCAGGTTAATATCAATGTGATTTTTTAATGTGTATTTCATTTAAACAACAGCATGCTTTCACTGGATAGGATTGTATTTACACTTTTGTTTTTCCATGTACAGGTGGAGCTGTCGTCAATAGACACAAACCCAAATGCAGTTTTTCAGAGAGTGAAGGACAACTCTATTGAAGTAGAACCAAAGAGAATCAGGCGACGGAAAGTATGAATATTATTAAGTAATTAATTAATTAAATAATTAATAATATACAGTATAATTGAGAAGATTGTCAAGGTGTAGGAAATATGATGCATTACGCTTTAACGTTCAGTCTTGAACATGAAGTTGGATACATTTGCCATGTTTTAACATTAAATAATGTAAAAAAAAGCAATTGCTGATTTATCGATATTGATGCATTGCAATCGCAGTTTGCATTGTGAAGCGAATCTGATATAAATAAGTTATTCTAAGTGATAAGTTTCTAAGTTTGTATACACCAGTGTACATATAATAGGTAAAACAGTTTTTTGGATCATGTTCATTTGTGTTTTTTAAGCCACAATGAAACTAGTGAGCCATATGTTCTAACAGCATGCAATTACAGACTTGATAGACATATTTTCGCTTTTATATTCAAGGCTAATACACCTAACCAGTAATGTGCTGTTAATCGTCATATCGTTATTTTCACGACGATTTATTGCAAAGAAAATACGATACGGATTTTATCTGGACTCATCACTAACTTCTGTGTCAGTGTGCGACTGAGCGTGTGCATGTATTCTGCGAGTAATCTCTCCCGACGATTATTTTCAGGCTCTCATCGTCATGCCGAGAAAACGGCGATCGCCGGTCGATGTGATGAACAATGTGTCTCTGAAAGGAAAACCTGTGATAGCAACAAATGAAGACGCATCGATATCGCCTCCCCTTCCGCTGAACAGCTCTGCCGAAGGAAGCCTGCCGTCGAAGGAAGGCTCCTCTACCTCGCCGCACCCGAGCGCGGACGGCGGCAGCGGCGGCGGCTGTCGCACGGAGTCCAGCGGCAACATAAAGAACCTGCACAACATGTACGACCGCCGCAAGCTGATGTGCCTCATCTGCAAGACGACGTACTCGTCGCTGAAGTGCCTGCAGACGCACATGCACGGCCTGCACCGGCGCGAGCGCACCGTCTACCCATGCCCGATCTGCGGCAGCATCTTCTTCAAGGTGTGGAGCGTGCAGCGGCACCTCGTCAACCTGCACAAGCTCGAGAAGGACGAGGTCGATGTGATGCGCTCGAAGATCAAGCCGACGCTGATGGAGAACACGGTGCCGACGGGTCGCCGCTGGACGTCGACGGCGCTGCTGCGGCGCTCGCTTGGCGGTGACGCCGTCACGCCGACGGGCCGGCCGAAGGGACGCAAGCGCAAGCGCGGCCGCGGCGCCAAGATCGGGCTTAGCCTGCTCGACGCGTTCCAGTACGCGAACGACGAGCGCGAGGAGGAGGAGGAAGAGGCGGCGGCGGCGGTGGCGGCGGCGGCTGCGATGGAAGCGGAGATGCCGCAGTACCGCACCGACAGTGAGGAGTCGTCGGACAACGAGTCTCCGGCGCTCGTGCTGTTCCGCTGCAAGTGCTGCGGCTACCGCTTCTCGAAGCGCAAGCTCTACAAGGAGCACACGGAGGTGTGCGAGCGGCACGCGCTCATGAAAGCCGAGAACCTCAAGTCAGAGCCGGCGTCCGACGACGACGTGGCGCGGGACGCGTCGGACGAAGAGGGTGCCGCCGTCGCCGCGGAGAACGGCGGCGCGGCGTTTCCGAGCGACGACGACGGCAGCGGCGGCGGCGGCGGCGGCGCATCTGACGCGGGCGCCGACGCGTGCAACGGCGACGGGATGCCGCGCAACTTTGCCGACTTCAGCGCGGGCCTGGAGGCGCTGATCGACGCGGCGGCGCTGCGCTGCCTGCGCTGCGGCGAGCAGTACGCGAAGATGCACGACGCGAAGCGGCACGCGGTCGCGCACCTCGGCTGGCGGCGCTACGAGTGCCTCGTCTGCTCGGCGAAGCGCTTCTACCGCCGCTACGACCTCAAGAAGCACCTGCGGCAGCAGCACCGCAGCGAGACGCAGCAGCTGACGGAGAAGCAGCTCGAGCGGCACATGATCGACCTCGTCAAGGACGCGCCGGCGGTGGCGGAAGACGAAGACGAAGGGGAGGAGGAGGAGGAGCAGGAGAAGGCACCTCCCGCGGCAACGAAGCCGCCGCCTGCGGCAACGAAGCCCCCGCCTCCGCCATCACAGAGGGCGTCGCCGCCGATGACTCGAAAGCGGAAGGCGCAGTAGAGCAGCGTAAAAGGCGTGGCAGCGCGGCGGGGGGAGCACGGCAGTAGGTGGGGGAGGCGTGGTAGCACAGCGGGGCAGGCGCGGAATCGCGTCAGGGGGAGGCGCGGTAGCGCGGCAAGAGAGGCAATGTCGCGGCAGGGGAGACGCGGCGGGGGCACTCGCGGTCGCTTGTACATTCGCGTTTGGTGAGGTCGTTGAGTGAAGATCTATGGGTCCGTTGTCGAAAACGTTGTTGGTGGTCACGTCATCGTCGCTTTTTCGGACGAAGTGTCGTCCAAAAGTCGTGACGCGGTAGACGTATGACGCTCATAACCGTTTTGCTGTGGCTTTTGTGACGTTTCTAGCAGCGGGCCCACTAACACATTATGCCATGCCCGCTGTTTAATTAAACTGTACATTTGTGTTATTGACATGTCATGTGAGTTCAACCTTCTGTCTGTCACTGATATTGGACGACGATGACTCACATTGTTTATTTCTTAAAGGATAAGAATACTCTAGAATTTGAAATTATTGTATATTATAATATTATACTAACTGTTAAAAATTGCATTTGTTGTAAGAGTCACTGTTCTGATAAGTATCTGTAAGAGTTTCTATTAATATAAGTTGAGTCGCTGTGTGACATTGACAAGTACAATTTGCACGAAAATATAGCCGAATCAACTGAAACTTGTATAATGTTACTCGTTATTTAAATACGGCCATAATGCTAAGATTGAAGCTGGTTTCAGGAGGTTTGATTACATTTTGACATGCGGTGACACCAACAATGGTATACTCCCTGAAACGATATCCGCGGAGTTCTCAACGAACGTGATGAGTTTCTAAATTTCGTTCCCAAGTCGATTGTTTAGATTTTGGAATTTTGTTGTTTCGTGTGTGCGGTTGGGCGTTCGTAGGTCCAGTTAGTGAATCTTTTACATCTGTGAAGCCTCTGTAAGTCTGGACCGTCTCTACCGGACGCAGGCCCACTGCGCTACCAGATGTGGGATTGTCACTCATTGACATCGAGCTATAAAGTTGAAATAAGGGGTGCAATGAACTGGCGTTAGTAAATATTATGATTACCCCAATGTTTCTAACGCAGGTGCCACCTGTAGATGTATTTGTTTTTAACGTTTAAAAGTTCTTTTTCAAGTTTGAAATTTTCTTATTTTGACAGAACGATAAATGATTGCTACCTGTACTGTCGCATATGAGAGGGTAACGTTTACTTTTGAAATCTAGGGTATTGATATCCTTTAAATGCAGTATAGATGTATCGGTTGATCACATTTGCTCTGTCGCTGTAAAATTGTAAACTGTATTATTAAAATATAGTCATCTTCATGTGTTATATTTTTCAATAATACCCTATTGCTATTTTATTTTGTGCGCAAAGGAACCTTGTATAATAACACTATTATAACACGTTTGCATACATGTGCATGTGTCACGAAATTGATAGCGTCTATTGTAGGCTTTTAATATATGACGACATGAAGGGAAATTTCATGTTGTGCGATATCCATGCTTGGACATCCAACTTGGTTCCCAACCTCGTCAGCGGCCGTCAGCGGTTTCGACAACTGGTTTAGTTGTCTTTGTCAAGCCATAGATATAGAACCTGTAATATTTATGGTCAAGCTGAGCGATTATTGTTTGATTCTGTCACCAGGTGGCAGCAGGTCACAAGAGCTTATGACAAGCTCACGCTCGGAAGCTGGACAAAGACAAGCAGATAAGTTGTCTTAACGGGCTAATTTCATAAATCTGTAACACAATATAATTACTTCCAAATTACCGTGAACCCTGATGCAGTTATTCTAAATTTTATGTTCGAAGTAGTGGTTCTGCACCATTTTATAAACCACGTTTTTCTTAAAAAACACATTCTGATTGAAGCACATTTTGCAACTCCGTCTGTATTGAATACAATTCAATAAGAACATTATACTGTTATCGCACTGTAGATGAGCCATGAAGTGCAGCCGAATGACGTTAATGTTAAGTGTCAGTTTACCAATTAGTTAATTGACATTAATTGAAGTTCGCTTATCTGTTCGCGTGCATGTGTGTGAGCACGCGCACGCATGCGTATATGTATATATGTGTGAGCACGCGCACGCATGCGTATTATGTATAAATTTATGCGCGTGTGCGTTTGTGCGTGTGTGTAAGCTCATGTGCGTGTATGTGTAGGCCTACGTACGTGTGCGTGTGTGTATGTGTACGTACGTGTGCGTGTGTGTATGTGTACGTACGTGTGCGTGTGTGTATGTGTACGTACGGGTGCGTGCGTGTATGCGCGCATGTGTGTGTATGTACACGTATATGTGTGTGTATGTGTACGTACGTGTGCGTGAGTGTATGTGTACGTACGGGTGCGTGCGTGTATGCGCGCATGTGTGTGTATGTGCACGTATATGTGTATGTATGTAACCTAACGTTAACCGACTATATTCCTACCATCATGTATGGCATAAGTGATGCACCGATTATTTGCCAAGGACGAATAAATCGAATTTCGAATAATTATTTTATTACAAATAAAAAAGGGGAATGTATATCACTTTAATTAGTAAGATTACTCTATTTATATCGGTATCTAAAGATCTTATATACTATTTTATAAAACATAGATTTGAATACAGTCCTTAGTTTTCCATGTGGAAATTTTATCAGTCATCAAAATATTGAATTTATGAATTAGTATGTTTAATATACGGATATGTGATAATAAGAGTCACCGTCGATACCGCGTTCACAATAAAAATATTCCATAGTAACACATAAACTTGAACACGCAACAAAGATGATGCACGTATAAATTGTTGATTAAGCGAAAGTTTGGTGATAAAACGATTACGCTAGACCGAGCTTTATTTCTCAGATTTTCGTCTTTTCATTTCTAAGCAACATCATCAGAAGTGGTCGATACAGAATGTCTTAATATCTTGCTCTTCGTAGAATATAAAAAAGTCTATATAACCGTTCCGTCCGAAAAATCGAAGGTCACATGGTATTTTTATATATATACGTGATATAATAGCGATCACGACAGACTACCATCGACAAATCTACGATACTTCTGTCACAAATCGATCATTAAACATGATCAACGTTTATTTACAGATTTACGTCATCGCGTTAAATAGCCTCTTGAATAATCTTCAATACGGTGACAATGTCAATCGATCTCACTGCGGTGACAATGCCAATCGATCTCAATACGGTGACAATGTCAATCGATCTCAATGCGGTGATAATGTTAATCGATCGCAATACGGTGACAATGTCAATCGATCTCAATACGGTGACAATGCCAATCGATCTCAATACGGTAACAATGTCAATCGATCTCAATGCGGTGACAATGTCAATCGATCTCAATGCGGTGATAATGCCAATCGATCTCAATGCGGTGACAATGCCAATCGATCTCAATACGCACTCATCATGTTGTACGAGGATTCCATGTCTTCTAGGTTTACGGAAGTTCCGTCGATCGGGTCTCCTGGCTTCATCATATCTCCCAGTCCGTCACCGCTTCCGCTGCCGATCTCCTCTGACGTTAACGGATTGGCGCTCGTTTCTGATCGATCGAGAGAGAGAGAGAGAAATATACACACAAGTTAGACGTGTATGCGCATGCGTAGTTATCTGTATTAATCAGCATTATCTAAGTTACGACACGCAAGCCATACTTAAAGTCAAGGCTCAATAGTTTTATTGGATAATAAGCCGCATGTAGACGAGGTAAAATAAACAAGATTTCGCGTCTAAACATAGTAAAAGCCCAATGGCCCGTTGTCAGAAACAAGTTTAGTCTTAACATTAGTCTTAACATTAGTCTTAACATTAGTCTTAACATCAACCTTTCCTCGTAGACCGGATATGTATAGGCCTACACTGCGTATGAGAAACTCGTAACTTTGCGATGTTTTTGGCAACGGTCTACGAGACAACGTTAATGTGAAGAATAATAATAACTAATTTTGTTTCTGACAACGGTCCCCCAAGTTTGTACCGGTCTCCATAACGCAACTTAATCAGGTGCACCAGATACACTGGTCGCATATGTAACAAGGATTTTGAAAAGCCGGACTCTAGAGTCATGTAGAGGCAATATAAAACGGCAAATAACACGGGTTATTCTTCTTCGCGTAGATGCACAACCCGCGCTATTTTTCTCATATAGACGCATCACCCAGATAGTTTTTCTTCATGTATACACATAACCCTGTTTATCTCTTCCCACCTAGACGGGTGTAATAGTAATAATGATAGTAATAATAATAATAATAATAGTTTTTCTTCATGTATACACATAACCCTGTTTATCTCTTCCCACCTAGACGGGTGTAATAGTAATAATGATAGTAATAATAATAATAATAATAATAATAATAAAAAGAATAAAAATAACAGGTTAAGACAAACGTACCTATGCAGATGATTGCCACCACCACAGCCAGCAGCAACACTGTGTGTCTTATCATTTTCCTCGTGACGTCGGCTCGCAAACCTAGTAAGGCTGGCTGTCTACTCGTAGCGGTAGTGTACGTGCTCTGGTAGTGTCCAGTCGGAGCGGAAAGCCTTGGCGAACGATGGCGACTGAACCGCTCTACGCCGCCGCCGGACTTTATATACGCGCGGCATGGATTCCGATGAAAAGCTCTGCTGCCTTTGTTTTAGCATGGTCTGAGTGCAGAGGGCAGGCAACCATGCGTACGCAAATGCGTTTGCAGACGACCGCAAAGTGGATCCCGCTGGTATTCTAGGTGTGATTGCCACCGCAGTAATAACCGACAGCATTGTTTATCGGGGGGATAGACCACGACATAAAAAAAGCGCTCGTCTTTTGCCATATGCAAATACCCACCAAGAAATTCCCTGCGGGCATATTAGCGAGGGCTTACTTGGCAACGAGATCACCAGATGTCGCCTGCAAAGCGATGCGCCGGCCGGGCCTTTTTGTCTTACGATACAATGTAGGTTAATATTTATAGCCGCTATGTTCACCGCACGCTGGGATAATGACTAAGCTGCAGTGAAAGGCATGTATACCGGTCTGCTAGACTACAATAGTTTCACTCTTCACTTACGGGCAGCTGTGATTAGGTCATCACGCGTAATGTATATATGCCGCAGCGTACATAGTCGCTCACCGGACGGCCATTGTCTCCGGTATTATTTAGGCTCGAAATCCTGTTACAATACCGCAATTTACGAGCCGCCTGTACGTATCCGACCCTTGGCCAATAGATCCAAGGAAAAGGATGGATTTCAGTTTAACCCTATCCTGCATCGCCATTTACGTGCACGGTGATTTTTCATGGCAGTAGAGCGCGGGAGCACGAGCTTACATATACATTATACATATATGCAGCCTAATATAAGTAAGTCTAAATACGTGCAAACGCGTACCCCCGCACGCACACGTGCACGCGCACATGTACGTCCACATAAATAGAGAGAGAGAGAGAGAGAAAGAGAGAGAGAGAGAGAGAGAGAAAGAGAGAGAGATAGAGAGAGAGAGAGAGAGAGAGAGAGAGAGAGAGAGAGAGA